TCTTAGCCACGGCTCCGTCACCACCCCTCTATTGACTTCTCAAACCAATTGGTTCTCATGAACATCTGCCTCCTCCTCCAGATATTTTACCTGTAGATTGCCGTTCAATAGTCTGCCTATCTCAGCCATCACTATCACAGTCACATTCAAATCCTACTCTTTCAAATGTAGGAATGATCGTGATGCTGCTCACAGCGCTTGGGGGGTCTCGTATGTCCAGGAGGTCCAACACATGTGATAGTTTCAAAAAGTGTGAAAATAAACAGATGATAACTAGGATCACAGCCAAAACCTGTGTTTTCAGTTGAAGCACTGTGTTATACTACTGGTCACAACTGTGACCGTTAACAAATTTACACCTCTTATGAGCCAGATATATATGCAGGAGTATGATTCTCAAAACACATCAGTAGTAAACACTTAAAAGAATATATGTACAAAATATGTCAATTCTATCTGTTAATGAAGGTGTTTTACTTTTTGTAGTAGTCTGAGGAAGACATCTTCTTCCAGGTGTGCAAGCAGGAAGTAAATTAATCTGGTCATGTGACCTTTCACACTAGTCACGTGATAATGATCAATTTTAATCAAGACAATCTATTTTTTTATTTAAAAGTTGAATTTCCTGCCCAAAGCCAACAACACACCTTTTAGAGCTTCAGTAATAACATAAAAAGACGCGTTTGGGATTAAACGGGTTAATTTAGTGATTATACTCTAAACACTAAGCGCCCTCTGACTAAATCACCAGTGAAACACACAGCGGAGAATAAAGTCCGACTGGCATCAGATCTCGTTCACAAAGCTGCTCATGAAGAAGAAGTATGAATGACGGAGCGGCGGAGAGAGAGGAGACAGAAACTCTCAGCAGTACGGCAGCATTTCAGCCAAAACAAGTTCAGCTCAAACGCTGTAAAGCAGAGCGGACATTTCACGGCAGCACTACGGTGATGCACGAGCATCGTAAACGCACCCCGGAGCTGTGACGTCTAACGTTACTCCTGATGGGTAAGTTTCAGAGACGTTTCCTGCTTTAGCCAACTGGCTATAATGTTAGTATCCTAACGTTTGTTAGTTTACCTGTCGGGAAACAAAGTCTCATGGACGCTGCTGGCTAAGAAAACGCTGCTCCAGCTGTGTTAGCTAACGCGTTAAGTACAATAGTCAGTCAGTGAATTATAGGTGGAGCTACCCTGTCTCGTCTTCTTCTGTTTTTCCCCTCGCGTTGATCCTAGCATTCGTTCTGAAGAGTAAAGCTCCTCCGCTTAACGGGAGCTAGTTAGTCTGTGTGTTGGAGTATATCAGTAATTAAGAGATTTAGTTAGTTAAATGGTTTAATTAGCATAGCCAGGACCCTGTCTGTGATAAACTATGATACATGACCTTCAGCGGGACAAAAAGAACCAACAGATGAGTCGACTACCAAAGTAATCATTAGCTGCAGCCCTATTTCATAATTAGCTTTAACACAATGCAAACTTTCTTTTCTGCAGCTGCTCGTTGTTTCTTCGTCTTCAGGAAGTTGTTGTTCACGTTCCCCGGCTGCTCAGCAGGAGTCACTGTTCTGCAGCAGGTCAGTCACTTTTTACATTCAGACAGAAATTAGATCTTTTAATTCACATTAAAAGTAGAGACAGAATAAGAAACACTAGCAAACTGACAGATGATCCAGAAACTGTCTGTGATATGTTGTTCTTAATGTTTGCTTTCATTTACTTTCTATTATCTTCATGTAAAGTAGATTTATAATCTGTTAAAATCTGAATCTTAATGGACAAAATTATTTAATTCTAAATCAGACATTTCAGAAACAGAAGAAATGAAGTTAATGTTGAAAAGAAATCATTTAAAGTAATAAAGTCATTAAATTTTTTATTCATTCATTTATTTTCCGCTGTCTCCAGGTGGATGTGGTCGGCGTCGGCGCGTCTCAGAGACAAAGTTGAGGTGAATCCATCCATATAAGCCACGCCCACAGGCGTCTGCATCGAGTTTCCACCATTTTGAGTTTTGTCCTACAAACTGTGAGCAGTCGTCAGCAGATGTGGGTCAGAACATCTCTGGACTGAGCCAGACAAAGGTCCTTTTTAGGATTTTGCGTACAGGTTTGCTGCAACTGGCCTTTAAAGTCTGCTCAGATGCTGTGGGCGGGGCTTCTGTTACCAAAGCCGTCAGATCTCCTGAACGCTTTGTGCTGCCGCAGCCACATTTGGTGGACGTGTAGACATGATGTCTGACTGAGCGTGACGAGTTGGTGTCATCTGGCCAGTAGGTGGCGCTGAGGTTCATAACTTTATATTTTCATTGAACTGGAACTTTGTACCGAGCGCTGATTTTGTACTTTTGGCCGAATCGATTGCTCGTCTTTGTTCCCTGTTGTACAAACCTGTTCTACTTGTTAGAAAGGCTGTTACATTATTTAATCAAGGGCCAGCTGAGGAACCCCGGGCCCTGATTGACTGGCGGGCGGCCAATGAGTAATGAGGATTGATTGTGAGTGCTTGTATCATTGGCTGTATATCTGGGGTTGGCTTGGAGCCAGATTTGGGCAGTCTCCATCCATGATGATTAATATCTGATTGAAGTCAGTGTGTCACTCCTTGTTGATGTGGGACTTTGTTCCCACTTCTGGCCTGGCCATAAATACCAAACAGGCCAAAGAGAAGTGGAACGAGCTGAAAGACAAGTCCAAGGTGACCTGCCTGTGTCTCTGCTTTGTATTATATAGCCAGTGGCTTCCTGAGAGGCAGTGGCCAGAGGAGAGGAGAGGGAAAGGGCAGCCACAGCTCCAGCAGAGAGAGATCACTTATCTTACCATCACATAGTTGAGGCCCCTGGCATCACAGGGGTCCTGCAGCAGCACTAAGGGGAAAGGCTTTCTGTTCACACAGCATTTCTTCTGTGGCTCTGCAGGAAGAAGAATCCTCAGGGATGCAAACTCGTCACCTTTCCGGTGAGATTCGCCTCTCAAGAGATTTCAGAGCCAGAAGTGTCCTTGGCCAGAAACAAAGGATGTCACCGGGAGTCACTCGCATCCTTTCCATGATGCTGTCAGACACCTGGTATAACAGTCTGAGCCTGTCCGCGCCAAAAGGAAGCACTTTCTGTGGACGCCATTTTGAAGGGCGAAAAAGGGATCCAGGGCAGGAAGTGAAAGGCAGAATGGAGGAGATGGAGCAAAGCCCGTACTGTGCTGGTTATTGTTTCCTCATTCTGTCGTCCCAGGCATCATGTGTGAAACCTGGAGTCGCTCAGTTCATTCTGAAATAAGCGACTTCCTTAATTACTAAATGATTCAATGTGATTATGAAAGAAGATAAAATAAAAATGAAGGAAATTCCTTTAAAGCTAAATTATTCTGAAATACACCAAATGAATTCCAAAAAGGTGTTTTTGCTCCCATTTGTATAATCGTGCTGGTTTTTAGTCGGATCTGAGCTAAATGTGCTCCTGCTGCCAAACCATCGAAGGAACAAATGTTTTCAAGGTCCTGGAGGAGGAAATCTTTCTCTCTACAGAAAATGAGCCATGTCGACCACAAGGGGGCGCTAAAGGAAAGTCAGAAAGTTCATGTCTGTCTAACCAGATGAAGCTGGAGTCAGAACAGCCTCTGATTTTTAACGTTGGACTTTGTCTGCTCGCTACACGACTCTGATCTCTGTGTTTCTGTATTTTTCTCCAAACTGCACCAAATTAGCGTCAGCGGCCCTCGATGCCTCCAGATCTACAGATCCAGCAGCAGGAGGCTCTGGGACACGTTTCTTCTCTGATCTCAGGATTCACTTGTTCACGTGTCACCAGATGTGATTTGCACATCGAGTGTTGTGAAACCAAATTCAGAGGATCTGTGCCGACGCTTCACTTTTATTTGAATTTAATATAGAACAGGACTCGGCCGACATTGTTCCAGAAGGACTTCCAGATCGGCCTGGGTCGGCGCGGCTTTGCTTCTGAATTGTGCCGGGTGTTTGGACCCCGATACTTAGTTTTAAAATGAAACTATATATTTGTGAGGACTTTTTAAAGAGTGGCGTCTTCAGTAGGAACCAATGGGCTTTGTAGCGACAAGCGGCCCTTCTGCAAGGAAACCCCGCTCTCTCGGGTCACCAACTCCGGGCGCCCTTAGCGCATTATGACTTCAGATAGCACTCAGGAAAAAGGGCGACCTCTGATAACGAGCTAGTTTCAGTACTAGGTACTGGCCTGAGCGTCTGTACTGAATGTCTGACTCCAGATTCAGAAGTTTCCTGGTCAGCCACTTCACTCCTCTCTCACTTTAGGTTGCAGAGAGTAGGGCCCTGAACACATCACCTGGAAGGAGTTCCTTAAAGGAGCAGTTTGCTGCTGATCTGTAATGAGCTGTGTTAATGTCGGCAGTGTGGATGTTAAAGTAGAAGAATACTAACTTACCAGTCCGGAAGAGGAGGAAGAAAATGAAGACAAAAAGAGACAAAACTCTTTCTAGTTTCTTCAGCCGTGCACCCAAAGAGAAACTGATTTATTTTCAACAAATGCAAAAACAGAAGCCCCCAAAAGTTCCCCCTTTTCCTCCTCTTTCGCCCTTTCTTCTTTATTTTCCCCTAATTCTTCTTGAGCTCTGGGGTCAGCAACTGAAATAATAATGGGCAGGAAGGACCTCAGCCCTTTTCCAAACGTTCATTGGCTGCTATAAGTTAGCCATCACACTGATTGGTTCTTACATTCTGACCTCACATCCTTCCTCTTCTTTATAGGTACCGTACACTTCCTGCCAGTAGTTGCAACACCCCTTTGCTCTCGTCACAAATGAACAAGAAAAATATAAAACGCATCATGTAGATTCAACAAACTGTGATTGTGTAATCTTCTCATTTCCAAAGCATCCAGAGCAGATACAGCAGGTCTCAGTTTAAAAACAAGACTAAATGAGCATTTCTTCTCTTCTACATCTTAAATGCATCACACAAATGAAAATCACACACAAGAAGCAGAAAAGACATCAATCATGGGTTGTCACCATCTTTTTTAAAGAAAAACCTTCCTTCTGTTCTTTAATCTCAAAATGATGTTGCTTTCATTTTCACAGTGGCTGCTGACGTTTAGGCAAATAGTGCCTTCTTTCCTGATTAAAATGATTATCTTGATGTCATCAGGGAATGCATACATGAGACGTCCTTACAGAAGACAAGTCTTAACGTTGACTAAAAATGATAGAAGCGTAAAAAGTAAAACTCTTGACCTTCCCCTCTGCATCGCACCTTTTTTCACACCTCCCCTCATGTGCGCTAGATACACAAATGCGTCGTCAGGGACGCTTTAGCTTTTGGTTTAATTTACAGCAAAAGAGTGGACCTTAGCTTCCTCTGTACTGGAAACTAGCGTTATTTTGAGACTTGAGACATGTCTGTCCGTACCCAGACAAAGGTTTCTAGAGGCAAAGATGAGGTCCGGCACAAGAGATGCAGAGATACAGGACTTATTAAAGAAATAAAGACAGTATCTCAAATTAAACATCTTTCTTCAAATGTTCTACTTTTGTAATATGAGCTCAGCAGTTAACCATTATCACTCTGAAAGCAAAGGCAAATCATGTTACTATATGGCTTGTAAATGTGTCAGGCAGTCAAACTGTGTCTGTGAAGGCCCCCCAAGAACCAGAACCAGAGGCTTATCCATCACTAGAAAAGAGTAAAATCCTGGACTGAGCTGATGGTGGGTTGTGAGGCAGCTGAGATGAGCTCCTTGGAGGTCCTACTCTGCTCCCTGAGCTCCTTCCTCTTCAGTCGGCCCTCCTTCAGCTGCAGAAACACCCGGGTTATAATAATCCAGCTCGATGTCCTCCTGCCTGCCCGGCTTCTGCCCCCTGCTGGCCTGGAGAGACATGACAGCACACACATGTGAGTTAGTGCATCACTCCTCCTCTTCTTCAGGTCAGTAAACACAGAGCGAGCGCTTCATCTCAGGCCTCTAAACAACAGACGTGTGTCAGTACCTTACGGTAGAAACAAAGGGCAGCGATCACCAACAGCAGAGTCAGCGGCAGGACGACCACTTTGATGAGAAGACCTGTTGGATCTGATCAAACACATGGACAGACATCACATCACACACCATCATGAGTCCATCAGCTCCCATTAAACACAAACTGTAGAGACCTGAAATCTCCCAAAACCACTTCAGTCCGTCAGGAATCTCTATCAACACATATCTGAACGCAGAATCTGGAGAAACAAGCAGAGCCGTCGCAACCAGAGAAGAAGTTCAACTGCCTAAAGCCTCCAGCTGAAAGGGGGTCCTCGAGAAGGGCTGATTATGTAGGCCTACTTGATCCACAGCAATGACACCTGTATTAGCACCTTTTAAATACTATGATCTGGAATCTGGGGGCAAGAAACAAGCAGAGGGGCAAAGAAGTTCAACTGCCGAAACAGTTTATAGTTGTTTTACACTAAACAAATATAATTTATTGTGCTTAAACGCAACACAAATCCAGCTGCTGCCCTTACAGCCAATGAGAAGGTGGAAGAGCGTTGTCATGGCTACCAGCTACAGGTGTGCTGGAAGCTGCAGTGATGTTGACAGGTACGCGTCCTGCGTCTCCGAGTCATTAAAATATATAATAATATATTTAAAATGTTCAGTTCTAATCCTGAATTTATTCTAGTTAACGTAACGTTAATCGTGATTATTTGAGGGTTCATGTGTTTATCGTTGTTGTTGGACAGAAGTAGGAGAACATGGTCTGGAAGCTGAATAAGCAGCGACATCAAGTCTGTCATCAGAAACTAATCAGTAGATCTCTGCAGCCTTTGTAATGAAGTTCGACTCTGTTTATGTAGCTGTCATGATAAAGAGTGAAATCAATAAGAAGATCTGTGAAGGTGACGTTTCAGCTGCTCTGCTTCAGCTTACCTGAGACAGTGAGAGACAGCCGACGGCTCTCAGAGGAGAAGTCATGAGAAAAAACATGGACGTGATAAACACAGCTGTAGCTTCCTTGGTGGGCGGGCTCTGCGGCAGGAAACAGGAAGTGGGCAGAGTGATTGACAGCTGGCAGGATGTAGTTGTGTGATGTGATGGAGGAGGTGAAGGCGAGCTGGAAGGAGCCTCCTGGGTACTGTGGCTGGATGGAGCAGCTGATGGTGAAGGTGGAGCCCCTGGACACCTGAAAGCCCTGCTGCTGGGCCTCGGAGACCCCGTCCACGGAGGAGGACGCAGAGATGTTGGGCTGAAGCAGCAGGTCTGTAAACACACAGATGATGAAAGGTCACATTCACCCTCCGTTCAACAAAATGGCCCCTGAAGAAGGAAGTGATGTCACAGGTCTGACACGGGGAACAAACATGGAGCAGAGCGATGACAGACTGTAAAAGGAGGGACTGGATCCACCTGGTGGGACGTCCCCAAACACAGAGACAGACAGACAGACAGGTTCCTCCAGGTGTGTCCTGTCAGGTGAAGCTTCCAGAAACAAGCCCACCTCTCTACACTTTAGGACGTCACTGTCCTGGAGAACTTTACAGTTCAGTCCAATGGAAACCACTGAGACACTGAGACAGAGGAGAGGACACACTGGAGACATTACTGTCATACATGATGTCATAGATGATGTCACTGATGGGTTTACCTGAGCAGGTGAGATCCAAAATGGAGGAAGAGGAACCTGATTCTACACACTCCCTCAGAGCAGATCCAGACTGAACACAGTCGGTACTGATCCACCACACAGGTCTGTCTGAGGACTCCTTTCTCTGTCCTACAGAAACAGCAGAGCCACAGTCCAGCTCTCTACAGGCACCAGCTGCTGTCTTCAGGGTCCAGTAAGGGTCAGGGTGATCGTTCCTCACTGGTCTCCAGTCTCCCTGATGTTTCAGCTCCAGTGTTCCTGCACAGCGACTGGCTCCTCCCACCAACCTGACATCATCAGACTCTGAACAGAAACCAGAGAGTCATCAGTAAAACAATAAAGTGAGTTTCATCAGAACAGAAATGAAGCAAATCAAAGCTGCAGCTCCTCTTCTACCTGAGCAGGTGAGTCCAACAGCTTTTCCAGGTGAGCAGGTGTTTCTAGCTGAGCCTGAGCTTCTACAGTCCAGGAGAGCAGACTCATGGCCTCCACACTGGAACTCTTTGGTCCACATCGGAGCCTCCACTTCTCCATAGAGCGCCCCCTGGAGGACTGAAGGAGCCCCACAGCCGAGCTCCCTACAGACCACCTCTGCATCCTGCTGGTCAAAGTCAGCTTCACACACTGAGGACCACCTCTGGTTAGACTTCACCTCCAGTCTGCCTGAGCACAGACTAGTCCCGTCCAGCAGCCTGACAGAGTCTGGAGAGATGACAGAAGATGAAATAGAGATAAAGACAGCAGACGCAAAAGAAAAACATGTCATGAAACAACAATTCAGTGATTCAAGGTGGACTCAGCACAACTCCAACATCAGTTCATCATTAACAACAGAACACATCTTTCTACCAGCACAGACTGCAGCAAGTTCACCAGCACATTTCCATTTAATACTCTGTCACACTTGTTCTCCACGTCTGAACACTTTCAACATGTTTCCAAACAACAGCACAACATCATCATCTGCAGATTTCTCTGCTCTGTTCCTTCTGCTCAGCTACTCCACAATCTTTGCTCTCCACACAAACAAGTTCAACACTTTTCATTCTGTCTTAATGTTCTAAGAAGATCTGGAACCCAGAAGAAAGAGCTGCTTAGAAAATGCTCCAACAACTCTAACAGGGATAGGGGCTGGACTCTCTCCTTTGAAGGAGCTGCCAGGGTGGAGGACGCCACGTGGGTGTGGAAATACTGACGAGCCCCCGGCTGAGCTCAGCTGCTCAAAGTTGTGGCCAGTAAGCAGGGTTGGGGAGTAACGGATTACATGTGACGGCTTTACGTAATCGGGATCCAAAAACAGTAGCTGTATTCTGTTACGTGGCACACCTGAGGTAGTGTGAGCACATTTCACCTGCTTTCATACAGGTCGGTAAACTGTAAATAACCCAGAACTACTGAGTTTATAACATCAGGCTTTACTAACGTGATTGTTTGTTAAACATTTAGAGTGTAGACGATGATTTCTGACATGTGTAAAGACAGGAAGTCAGTTTGTCCTGTCAACGTTTCCCGCGATGACGCCATGTTGGCGCTTCGAATACCGGACGTTTAAAGTTTATGGTGGGAAAGTGTTGTGACGGCTCCTGTTCACTGTAGATATTCCAGATGTCTGTTTGATAAGATGTTTATAATTAATATACCTTGCCAAAATGACTGACAGCAGCTACCTGAATATTGATACGTCTGTTTTCTGCTAAATATGTGATTAGAACATGTAACATGAGCATTTTTAGTTACATTTCAGTGGACTGTAATTATTACAGAAGGTTAATGTCAGTGTTGACTCATTAAAGGGGCAGTACGCCTAAGCTCAAGTTAGATTAGACGTGTATTAGACGTAAAAGGTAGTGTTTAGAGCAGTTACATCCTGTAAGGACAAAAAATCTGTAAAATGAAAAGTACACTATACACATCCCATCATTAATGTTACCCATGGGGGTCCCTCATACGGTTCGGACTCACGGCAAGCCGTCCCACTTCTGACACCATATGCGGCCAAAGGCGAGAGCAGTCACCCTGCCCAGATTCAAACCCAGGTCTAGAGGGTACCAAACATGCAACTTTGACAGCAAGGCCAAAGAGCCAGACTCGTTGGTATGGCAGTCCAAGCGCTTACTCAGCTGTAGTGAAGGTACTCAGTCACAAGCATGCAGTACAAATGGTGGAACCAAACTGAAACAGGTCACAATCCTTATCCTTGGAGGGGAGGTGTCGCTTATCTTTGAGTAGGACTCGTTGCATTGACACTATGGGATTTTATCACACAGTATCTGTGGAAGGGAAAAGGAAATATTTTGTCTATACCAAAGCAATATTACCTCTAATTAACAACCACTGTCAGATTTTTCATTTTGTTTAAAGTTGCTGAAACACAATATGACATCATGTATAACTGTTCTGATGATGCTAACCGTTTAGGTTCCGGTGAAGTGGTTTTCCACAATGGACCCCTCCCAGTTATTGCCCAGTTCTTCCAATACAACATCATCAAAAACATTGATGATGATGATCTGCCTGTTGATGAGCCGAGAAGTAACAGAGCCTGAAACAGTGTTTCTGCGTTTATTGCAGGATTTCTGTATGAAAGTGTTTGTGTTTTGGATTCTGCTCGCTCATGAGTTCAAGCGAGCATGCGTAAATATGCTTTTATTTAAGCATATTTATTAAAAGTTTAATTAAGTAGATATTTATTACCAATTTCTTCAAACTATACTTTTGAGAAGTATGTTAAAGCTCAGGAGAATATATTTAATATACTTGTAGTAAGCATGTTCGGAGTATGAATGTACTATAAGCATACTATGTGAATTTCTAGTACATTTTTAGAGCCTTTAAGAGCACTTCTTTTTGACCTGGGGTGACAAAACATGAGGAAACACGACACTGGGTTCACAAGAACATTTCACATCATTCAACATCGATTATTCTCAGGATAAATGTCAAATCATTATTTCTTTCAGGTTTAAAGGCAGATTTTTGAGTGAAAGTTGAAGAAACCAGATGATTAATTGTGGTTTTAATATATTTTTACGCTCAGAACAAACACTTGATGCCAAACAGTGGAAAACCAAATACAAATCTGATACAAACATTCAAAACTAGTATGATTAAGTAAAATCTTTTTTCAGTCCCTTTTCCTCAACAACAGAAATATCTTAATAGAAAAGATGAGTGCTGATTTGTTTGTGATTCAAATGAATTAAATCAAACATTTATTAAACATCTGTTACTTTGCTACTGAGGAGAATTACTGTATATCCTGATAATTTACATTATTGTTTTATTGCCCTGCTGGTCCTCCCCATTCACATGGGGGATTGTGTATTGGCTGGTTCTAGGGCTAAACTGTTTCATTATAACATCAGATAATAGTTTACTGTAAAGCTTACCACTAGTGAAATATTAATTCCAGTTGGAAAGCAATTTCATTTCTGTGGGTTTTCATTTATTTAAATCCTCGTGTAAGAAAAATGATCTACATGCTGAACAGTCCCTAATTAGTTAATGCTAGTTCTATTTTGCCCTCTAAGGCTGTCGCTACTGGGTTTACCTCTTCAGCGCGCCTGCTTGGCACTGAGAATTTTAGTCTCCGGTGCGCGGCGTTCCTCGGACCGGAGAACGGCAGCCGAGCGCTCACTCTCGGTTCGCTCTCACAGAAAGCTTGCCATTCAGGACGAGGAGGTGTGGCGGTCCACTCGCTCTCTGGACGAAGCCCTTAATCTGTTGTTGACGGAAGAGCGGAGTTGGATGGCTCCACTCTTCCCATTCACGGGTCTCCGAGCGGCTCCGAGCTTCCCCGTTCCCACCTCCGATGACCGGCCTCGACGCTACTAGGTTGCCGCGGCGAGGTAAGCTATCGTTGAGCTAACGGATAGCGGTCACTCACATGCGGTCTGCCTTGATCAGAAGAATAGAATATATAGTATGTCTCCTAGCTGTCTCCACACAAGTTTCTAAGGTCGAGGACGGTCAGGGGCGAACAAGTGGCCCAGGAGTTTGTCCCTGGTCAGCCCGCTCTCCAGACAGAGCATGTGTCGGGGCCTCTGGGTCTTTACAGACCTTATTCCTGCATTCTTGAGTTTTATCCAAGTAGAGAACATAAACTAAATGAGCCTTTAAAATACATCTTCAAAACTAGAAACTCCTCTCTAACTCTCCTGAAGTAAAGAAACCATCTCTGCTGAGCCCTCGAGTACAATAAATAAATAAAAAAAGCCATATCATCATCAGTCTTACCATAAACTGCTGCTGACTCTGTTATTGCCTCATCTCTGCTCTGTCTCATGTTCACCATGGCAGAGCTTGTACTGGTGTTGCTGGCCAGCGGCGGGGAGAGTACTCAAAATCTTTACTCAAGGAAAAGTACAATTACTTCCAAAAAAGTAAAAGAAAAAAATGACAACCCTACTCCAGTAAAAGTATATTTAATAATATATTTCATCTTCTGTGCAACAGGTTATTTCCAGGGAAAGCAATCTGCTTTCCTGGTTAATTAATTAGTAATTGAATAATTAGTAATTTAGCTGTTTAATACAACTATTTTCCTTTTTAAATCTCCATGAACTTTTGATAAGATCACTTTAAAATATCAGCTTGCTGCCCAGCCACGATTGTTTAATTCAATTCAAACAACTTTATTTATCCCTGTAGGGCAATTCAGTTTTAGCCTACCAGTCGTATCAAACAAGACAAGACGACAACAATCAATCAAGCACTGAGAAACACTGCCAATAACATCATATTGCATTTAGGCACCAGAACAAAGCAGCAAATACCCAGGTCACAATACATGGACTAAGCAGGGACCATAGTTCAAAGAGATAAATAAATAAATAGATAATAATACCAAGTAAATAATAAATAGAGGTTTACGATGCCTGGCACATGTCTGGTTGCCGCTGTCAGCAGTATTTAGAAGCCTGATGGCAGAAGGAATAAAATAATTTGCATATGTTAGTTTTCCTGTTGCCTTACGGACATGCAGGAAACCAAACCTGTTGCTTTGCAGCAGCACAGGCAGACGAAACAATCTGATTATTCCTAAAGCATCTAACTAATCTTTACAAAGAATAATTGTGGCAGTAACACGGAGCAGCTCGTTGTTGAGGCAGGTAAAGCTGTCACTGTCGGAGATCAAAGTAACCAACCTGTGTGAGAGAAAAGAACCGGGCTGATGTCATCAGAACAAAGTGATGATCTTTCCAACAACAGGATACTGTGAAGATATCAGAACAGGGCTGGACTGGGACAAAAAATCGGCCCTGGCATTTTCGGACCAGGCGGCCCGCTGAAGTCAGTGGGACACCAACACACCGTCCTTCCATTGAAGGGCTCAGATTAGGGGAGTGACAAAACACTTAGCCCAGGAGGCGTAACATTGTACAAGATTGGGGCCATGACAACAAGACAAGAATATTTTAATAGGCCGACCATTTAAGAATAAAAATGTGTTGATGAAATAGTTGATGGGGGTCATTAAACACTTAATTTCCTGCATTCTGGAGACATTTTCTGCACCAGGGAAGCACAAAATGCAGGTGACAGGTGACAATTCAGAATATAAAATAGAATAGACTATAATGCAGTAATCAGTAGCTTATTGTTTCCAGCCTAAGTTTCTTTTTTGGCCTGTTAAGGCCCTTTGTAATAGAAGAAAAGGAGCCAGCAGAGAGGGGGAATAATCCCAGACAAAACTTTATTTCCACCATTAATCTACAAGTAAAAAACTTGAATATTCTCTGACATTATAGTCACACATTATGAGAGAAACTTCACTTTGCAAGGCTGCAACATCACACACGTCTGCCGTATAGTATGCATGCAGTGGAAAGTTACATTAAACTTTGCAATAGGATTTAGCAGTGAGGAAATACTCCTGAGTTTAGCTCACAATCACTACCATGCACCTCACAGACTTTGCCGTGGATCGGGCGTATTCAGAAGAAAACACCAGAGTGATTTTAGATTTTTTTACATTTCAGGGAATTTCTGATTTTTGTTCCTGTAAATTCACAGTTTATCTAGGATTTTTTCTCGGTTTATTAACCCCTGGCTCCGTATTTTTTGGACGCGTAAAATATTCAATCTAAATATGTGAAAACAGGAGAATTCAGTTACATCTCAGAAACTGTCCCGTTAATTAATTAAGATCTCTTCCCTAAAATCCCAGGCTGCAGGGCTCGCTGTATGAACGTGATGCTGTTGTGTTCAGAACTTCATTGCAGCGGCAGTGGAACAATCAGGATGAAATCTAAACATATTTTATGAAGTGGTGGTATTAATATCCTACTTCTCATCATTAACATAAAGTACAGAATTGGTGTGGAGTCCACGTGCAGGGTAACCTGAGTTAACCACCAACAAAACCTGCTCGTGGCAGTTTAGAGATGCAGAGTAAATTGCCATGGCAACAGACCTCTGGTAACACCTGTCCACCTTTTGTAGTACGGGTTAATCAGGAAGTTACCCCTGAAGTTACCTCGCTTCGTAGTGCAGGCCACAGCAGTAAACACAAGACATGAACTAAGGTACACGACTAAGAACTAAAGCTGATGATACACGGGGCAACTTTTGAGCAATGTTTCGGGCAATGTTGCTAGTGGCAAGTCCGACTATGTTTTGAACGGATAGCGGCGTGCAGGGCGGGTGAAGGAGTGGTGGGGGAAGGGGATTACGGTAGTAATCCTTTTTTTTTTAAAAACCTGTCATGCCCAGCAGCCTGGTAGAGAGTATGATGACCTGGATGCCATATTGTGCCAGACAGATTTTACTTTAACAAGAGAGTATTAATATACTTTGTCTGTTTTATTATATATTTATGTATTGATTTGTCACCAGGCCGGACAGGGGGACAGACACGGGGATGGGGGGGCACAAACAGACCACAGAGAAAGGACAACACCTGTAAGAGAAGGGGGATGGAAGGTGGGACAACAGGGAAAAGCAGTGGAGCAATTGCAGAAAGCAACGAAACCTGCAATAGAACAGAGAGGGGGGCTTGGGGAGGAGAAAAAAAAACAAACAAACACAAACAAAAACAAACAATAAAAATAATAATAATAGTAAAAGACAACCAGCCGAACAGCAGCAATGAACAGCTGACATAGTAAGACAACTAAGAGAAAAATGAAAACAAGAAACAGTCACACACACTAAATAAGCAACACAGCACAGCCACGAGAGCTGGAATAATAATAATTTAAATAAGTAACTGAAAGAAAAGCATCAGGAATAATTTAGGGACAACCTCAGTTTGTTGTGTCTATGTGTGAGACTGTGTGTTTGTGCGTCTGTATGTGTGTGTGTACATGTAGGCGCGCATAAGCCTGTTAAAGAATGTAGTTGTTAGTGAGAGTGGGGCCACGACTGTGCCACACTTACCCCAGCAACAGGCAGGCAAGAACCCCAGTAGCCAATAGGGGTGGGAG